CGTAAAAACAAGTTTTACATTTCAGGTTGGAGATGGGAAATAAAGCATGCAGAAAAGCTTTTTCTTCAAATGTGTTGCCCTTTTTCCATAAAGCTTTAAGTCCTTTTTGTGAAATTGATAAAAATAAGTAAGCTAGTTTGAGTGCAACTGTCTATTGTCTGAAATCAACATCTACTTACTACCCACACCTGCCCAAGTTCTGTATAATAAACTTTCACTTCTAACCATTGAGGAAATAGGTTTCGGGGCATGTATGCGTAATCTGTATGTACAGACAAGGGAAACAGAAAGCTTCATATACTTTTCTCAGAGATTGATTGTGCCCATTTCAAGAGCGCTATGGAAGCATGCGAATTAACTAGCATGTAATAGGACTGTTAGGTACGTTGCTGGGAGGCTCCAGGGGGCAGGGTTATTGATCTTTCACTCTGGCTTCCTCCTCTGTGCTGATGAGGATTTGTGCCAATCTGTCCTTGTGGAGATATTCAGTGAGGACAGCGATGGACTGAACAAGCTGTAATGTAATTGTTGCAGTAGTCAAAATAACAGGACATTGACGTCCTTGACCCACCAACAGGAATTGCAAACTATAGGATAACTATATTTACTTAAACCCTCATGTTTCTAGCTACTGTTTTTGGACCATGCACTCCATCTAGCGGCAGTGAGTGCTGCACAGACCCATTTAGCAGCTTAGTCAGGAAGAAAATATATGTAGTAACTATGTAGTGTATCTGAATTCTGTGTCTCTGTGATATTTTCAGATTTGCTAGCAATATACACCCTGCAACAATGTAATGTTATATATCAAACCTTAAATGCAAAGGACAAACAAAATCCAAGCGTGGGACTGCTTTATTTTTCGATGTCATTTTTAAATATACAAGAGGAGCAAGTGTGGAAGGTTTGACAAAATTAAACAAGGTTGCCCCCTTCTAGCTAAGGGTCTTCTACCAATGGGTCTATCCCCCCCCCCACTCCTTACATGCTGCAAGTTATAGAACGTGTCTTTAATTCATCCTAGGAGTTGAAATAGAACTCAGTTTTGTCTTTTTTGAAGAAAAGCCTTGTTGGTGGTGGCTCACCACATTGCTCTCTGTACTCCAGAGAGCTGCGCATGGTCAGCCAGATGGCGGAAGGCAATTCGGCTTAACCTCCATCGCCACACTACAGCTCGTGGACGGGATGTCAGAACACATCGATTACGGATCCTCGCTGGGCAGGTGTCCCGGGGAAGGGCAGCAATCTCTTTTTCAGCCACTTCCTGGAACAAATAAAAACAGCGGTAATACCCATCGGTAGTCCTGGAGCTACTACAGGCAGCACCCCATTTACACACCATCTATTTGCATTCAACCCGCTGAAACCTGGAAATGGGGAGCACCATAGAGAGTCCTAGTGACTTGCGAGGAGACCCTTTGCAGAGCCAGAAGAGGACATCCTCTTTGGGCTGGGAGGGGGGTCCTCCTCACAAGCCACTCGGATTTTCTAAGGTGCTTCCCATTTACACACATTTCACTGACTCATACAGAGGTCCAGAATGTAACCCCTGTGTAAATTGGGAGACACATGTAGAATATATCATTCACAAGGACACTGTCTCTTAAAAGTTTAGCAACGCAGGAAGTAAATGTGACAGCAGCAGCAGTTTTACAACCACTATGGTTGTGACAAATCAAAGCTTTAATTCCTCCAGCTAGGAATCTGCAAACTCACTGGCAAAAATAACGTGTGTCTCGAATCTGTTCCACTACTGAACTCCTCTTACTGTCAGAAAGTTTTTCCAAATGTTTAGTCGGAATCTCCTTTCTTGTAACTTGAAGCCATTGCCTCGAGTCCTACCCTCCAGAGCAGGAGAAAATAAGCTTGCTCCAACTTCCATGTGACAGCCCTTAAGAAAATGGCTATCTCAGTCTCCTCTTTTCCAGGCTAAACATAACCAACTCCTTCAAGCGATCCTCATATTTTCTTAATTTTTTTGCAAGGGAGAGTTGAGAAAAATGAGGAAATATGGAGGGGAAAAGGAAGTGAAGATGAAATTGGGGGTGCAAGGTGGTTTGTGAAAAAGAGGGAGTAGGAGGCGTGGGAATAGGGTGGAAGATGAAAGGGATGGTGGCTTCATACTTGGGCAGAAGATGAAAAGGGTGCATAGTTGCAATGCGTAGGTGGAGTTAGATACAGGATGTTACTGTGTGGGAAGTTTGTGTGCAAGGCTGCTTGCACAAAGGGAGAGGGAAGAAGCATGGACATGGGGTGAAGGTAAAAATGAGCGCAAAGTAGGGTTGCAAAACTGAAGAGATAAGCAGCTTCAGTGAAAAGCAATCTTAGTAGTTGCATAGTGTGGGAAGGGGAAGGTCTAGGAAGTTAATGGGTGAGGAATGGCGGAGGGCAGGTCAGCCCTAGTGTTGTAATAAATTACTATAACAGTGTTGTTTTCTTTAACAATTTAGCAGTTTGTTCCTGGAGCCTTCAAATGCCACATGTACACAGGTAGTCAACAAAAACACTACCTACAATAATACATTTAGAAAAAGAAAAAGGAATTTTGTAAAAGGACTGAATCACTATGGAGAACAACCAACAGTTAAATTCTAAAAGCATATAGAAAACAAAAGAGCTTTCATGATGCCTTTTAAATTTTTAAAAAAGTACAGTCTGGAACAGAATAACCAGTAAAAAACTGCCTGGAATTTTTAATTGAAAGACACCATGTGAAAGGTTTTCAATGCATAATAGATGCCACTTCAGGGAACCCACCACAATGAAGACACAATAACTTAAAACAAAATTACAGGATTCCCAAGCAGTAGGTTGCATTCCAAACTGATCCTCTGTGTAATACTGTAACTGCACACAACTGGCTAGCTGCTTCCATCGTATTATTTGCTTAGTGGACTCTTAGCTCCTTGAAAGAATAGAAATTGGATAAACCAATGACTAAAAAAAAGTATGTAAAAAGCAATGGATGTACTGTGGGAAATGAATCAGGAGATGATTCTATTCATGACCTGTTCATAACCTACAATGGTTATATCATGCTGAAATAAAAAATATTTTTGAATCTGTGATGTAGATGGGGAGGGGATGCCTGGTTCATTGCTACAATCAAGAATATCTTAAAACAGTATTTTCATCTTACCTGGAGTTCTTTGGGCAAAATTTTGTTTTTCCTAAGGGAATTCAGCCGCAGCCTCTGATCTGCATATTCAAAAGCCATCTTCCTTCTCTTAACATCACGTACCATCCTCCAGTCCACATAATAACCCCTTACTTGTCCAACACATGGGATGCGGAAGATCTATTATTACAACAAAAATAAATCGGGGTCAAAGTGTGGTACATTTTGTGCAAGTAATCAGATGCAAGCGTCCAGATATTCATCAGTGCATCTGTTCTTTTACAAAATCTAATTATACTTTTACCTGATTTGCTGACAAACGTTTTTCCAGATTTAGTCTTGGGAGGGAAAGACCACGAAAGCGCGAGCCCACAAATAATTTACTAGCCTACCCACCTGGAGACACAATTGTTTGTAATTTGTAGCACCCCGATGGGGTGACTCAGGGGGAATGCATGCCTGGCTAGCAGAGGGCACTGCAGTACACTATTTCCTACAGGCAACCAAGCAAAAGACTATTTACATTCCTGAGTTTCTTCTGGCGGCGTGGAGGGAGGGAGACTTTGGTGTGGGCTTCTCTTTGGGGCCCAATAACCCACGGGACGAAATCCCGGCTTTCTGTCCCCCAAGGGCAACCTCCACAGCAGCTGACACCTCTCCAAGCGAAATGAGACGCTTGTGTCCTTCACCACCCCCCCCACCCGAGCACAGGCCTGGAAAGGACTCTGTGTGCTTTCTAATTGTCGCCTTTTCTACGTTCCCGATCTGTCAGCCGCCTCGAGCCCCTCTCGGGAGAAAGGCGGCGCACAAAACAACCCGCTTGCGGGGAGGCGAAACACCCGCCAGGCGCGGCTCCGTCTCTGACGGGGCTGAAACTTGACAACCCGCAGCCGAGGCCACCCCGGCGCGGGGGGAAGGGCGGCCCCCCAGGAGGAGACACGCGCGACCGCGACCCTCACCTGACGAGACGCCGCCTGCAGCGCCGCCGCCGCCGCCGCCGCCGCCATCTTGCGCCCCACAAGGCTGCTCGCCAACGGCAGCGCGGAGGAAAGCTGCGCATGCGCTGCCAGCAGTTAGGCGGAGCTACTCAAGTATAAGGCACGGCGGCGTGGCGGAGAAGCGCGCGGCCCCGCCCCCTTTGCCCCGCCCCCGCCATACTAGCCTCCAACGGCGTCGCGGCAGACCGCGCATGCGTCGCCAGTAGTTAGGCGGAGCTAACTGCGCCTAGTGGGACATAGAGATGCTTCGGGAGATGTGCGCTGGCACTTGAAGGAGAGAATGCGGGAGGTTCAGCTAAAGCGGAGAAGGGAAGCCTGTTTGGGGGCGGGGAGGGAAAAAGCAAAACAAAAGCAAAATGAGAATGATAGAAATTAATAGTATGTGATATAATAGAGGAACCTGTATTAGGTGAAACAGGTGATATCATGCAGTGTGTAAAAGGGAAGCGTACAAAAACAGCATGGAAGGAAAGGCAGGGAGCCAAATCCCAAAGAGAAATGGATAACAAATTTGAAACTGGTGAAAGTAATGAAATATAATTGAAAAATTAATATTGAGAATAATAGAATTCAAGGGAACCCCAGGGGTCATCTAGTCCGATGCTGGAAACTCAACACACAGCTCCCCATCCAGTTTGAAGCAATACCTGACCCTGCTTAGCTTTGCAAATGTGCTAGCAGCTTATCACATTTTGGAAGAAGAAGAAGAAGAAGAAGAAGAAGAGTTTGGATTTGATATCCCGCCTTTCACTCCCCTTCAGGAGTCTCAAAGCGGCTAACAATCTCCTTTCCCTTCCTCCCCCACAACAAACACTCTGTGAGGTGAGTGAGGCTGAGAGACTTCAAAGAAATGTGACTGGCCCAAGGTCACCCAGCAGCTGCATGTGGAGGAGCGGAGACGCGAACCCGGTTACCCAGATTACATGACTACTGCTCTTAACCACTACACCACACTGGAACTATTATCTTGCAAAGTCAGCCAAATAAGAATACTTTAACAAACCTCAGAGAATAGAAAACAAGAGACAGCAGGTGAGAGTAATAAAAGGAAATGTGCCTTTTGTAGTGCACAAAAGCTTAATAATACTCGTTTGTCAGTTTCATACTACAAGACTATTGTTTATGTTGCAGCAACAGGCTAGCAGGGCTACCTGTGGTGTGTCAAACCATTCCTGCCTGAGGCGCAATATTGCCTGCACTGATGGGCAGCAGCTGTCCAGGGCTTCAGGCAGGAAACATCTGCAGAGACAGCTGATATTCAAGCAGAGACCTTCTGCACAGAAACCAGATGCTCTACCAGTGAGCCATGACCCTCATGACTGCCCTACCCCTTTATTTACGGGATCTTTGAACTTTACAAAATGAGTACAGTGGTACCCCGCAAGACGAACGCCTCGCGAGACGAAAAACTCGCAAAACGAAAGGTTTTTTCGTTTTCGAGTTGCCTCGCAAGACGAATTTCCCTATGGGCTTGCTTCGCAAAACGAAGCTTGCCCCGGGGACAGCGGGTCTTCTCTTTTGAAGCAAGGGGCGGCGGGGAGATCGCTTCACCCCACCGCCCCTTGCTTCAAAAGAGGTCTGCCCCCGGACCTCTTTTGAAGCAAGGGGCTGCGGGGAGATCGCTTCTCCCGGTGCTCCGAAGCGGGGTGGGGGGGCGGGAACACCTGCCCCAGCCGCCGGGCTTCGTAGCGCTGCTGCGAAGCCGGGCGGGGGCGGGAACACCTGCCCCAGCCACCCCGCTTCGGAACGCTGCTCCGAAGCGGGGTGGGGGGGGCGGGAACACTTGCCCCAGCCGCCGGGCTTCGTAGCGCTGCTGCGAAGCCGGGCGGGGGGCGGGAACACCTGCCCCAGCCACCCCGCTTCGGAACGCTGCTCCGAAGCGGGGTGGGGGGGGCGGGAACACTTGCCCCAGCCACCGGGCTTCGTAGCGCTGCTGCGAAGCCGGGCGGGGGGCGGGAACACCTGCCCCAGCCACCCCGCTTCGGAACGCTGCTCCGAAGCGGGGTGGGGGGGGCGGGAATACCTGCCCCAGCCGCCGGGCTTCGTAGCGCTGCTGCGAAGCCGGGCGGGGGGCGGGAACACCTGCCCCAGCCACCCCGCTTCGGAACGCTGCTCCGAAGCGGGGTGGGGGTGGGGCGGGAACACCTGCCCCAGCCGCTGGGCTTCGTAGCGCTGCTGCGAAGCTGGGTGGGGGGCGGGAACACCTGCCCCAGCCGCCGGGCTTCGTAGCGCTGCTGCGAAGCCGGGCGGGGGGGGGGGGCGGGAACACCTTCTGAAGGCGGGCGGGGGGCGAAAGTCTTTGTCCCCCCTGCCTGCCTTCCCAGGGGCTTTTAAATCGCCCCGGACAGCGGAGAAGTCCTCCGCTGTCCCGGGGCGATTTTAAAATGCCGCCCGCCAGCATTTTAAGATCGCCCGGACAGCGGAGAAGTCCTCCGCTGTCCCAGGGTTTTTTAAAATGCTGGGGGTGGGAAGAAAAGCCCTTGTCCCCCCCCCCAGCCTTCAGAAGAGGTCCGGGGACAGTCTGTCCCCGGACCTGGTCTGAAGGCGGTTTCCCTAGGAACGCATTAATTGATTTTCAATGCATTCCTATGGGAAACCGTGCATCGCAAGACGAAAAAACCGCAAGACGAAGAGACTTGCGGAACGAATTAATTTCGTCTTGCGAGGCACCACTGTATTGTAGGGAGAAGGCAGGTTGGAAATGAATTCAAATAAATTTAGCACAATACTGAGCCAAAAAGGGACCCCAGAGCAGCTAGCAGGTGTGTCCAAAAAAGACAACAGCTGTGTACACACCATATGTTTAAAGTGTTAAGTTGTAGGTGAACATATCAGACGACACAGCGATTCTTCAGACAGCTCTTGTTTATTCACAGGCCAGAACAGAACTGAACTGAAGGGTTCAGCCAGCCTGCTTATATAGAGCTCCACTAGAACGCAACAGTAACCATTTTCTGTAACTATCCAATCATTGAATGTCACTTTCGATCCCTTATTTGCATATGTAGACCTGAACTATCTACAGTATCCCCCTGCTGGCCCAGGGTGAGAACTTCAGTACATAACATACAGAACATTTCTCTCTCCCCCTACCCAAAATCCTGGGAGCTGTAGTTTGTTATGGGTGATAGGAATTGTAGCTCTGTGAGGGCTAAACTACAGTTTCCAGGATTCTTTGGGGCAAGTCATGTGCTTGGAAAATGTGTATGCAGACAGTCTCAGCCCTCAGGCTTAGTCTAAAAAGGGGAAATATAAAAGGAATACAGTCCTAAATGGCTTGGCTTCTACATCATATCCTGATCATTTCCTCCTCGTCCCATAGGCTTGTAATACAGTGGTACCTCGGGTTACATACGCTTCAGCTTACATACGCTTCAGCTTACAGACTCCGCTAACCCAGAAATAGTACCTCGGGTTAAGAACTTTGCTGAAAACTTGGCCTGAGCCGCTAATAGATTGAGCTCCCCTTTGCCAATGCACATCTGAAGGCAGTATCCAAAACAGCACACCTACTTACCCACCCTCAGAGAAGTATGGGAAGGTTGGAAGATTTTGCAAGCAGTTCTGATTGTGCAGTAGATCTTCCCCTTTTCTGCTGTACCACAAATTGGCTGAATTTGTGTATGGGTTTGGCAGAGATGGTACACAAATGTACACCAGGGATGCTAGTGCCTTAAAGGAGAGCGCTGGCACAGTTCCATCATTACGGATAGTGATGATCTCAAGTCTCTGAGCCCCAGGCCTTAGGTAGTCAAAACAGCATGCAAGAGGGAAAGATAATCAGACTTGGGTTTGTGAACATGCACAAGGTTTGGAAGAGTACACAAATCTTTTTTTTTTTTGCGGGGGGGGGGACTTCAAGGGGACTTCCCCCAAAAGTAGCCCAACAAGAACTGAGCTGGGAATGGAGTGTTGTGGAGGGGGTGTGTGAGAAAACTGAGGTATGTGTGTGTATGAAATTGAGGGCTTATCCACACTTGCCTTTTGCCACACACTTTTCAGGCAGAGTCCATGCTTAAAAGCATTGATTGAGCACTGTTGTTGCTGGTTTTTGCCCCAGAGCTTTCTTCACAAAAATCCACTCTTTAAAGCTCAATCGGAACAAATGGTGTGTTATGTACTGAAGTTCTCACCCTGGGCCAGGAGGGGGATACTGTAGATAGTTTTCACTCAGGTCCACATATGCAAATAAGGGATTGAAAGTGATGTTCAGTGATTGGATAGTTAAAGAAAGTTGTTACAGTTGTGTGATACTGGAGCTCTATATAAGCAGGTTGGCTGAACCCTTCAGTTCAGTTCTGTTCTGGCCTGTGAATAAACAAGAGCTGTTTGAAGAATCACTGATATGTTCACCCACAACTTAACATGGCAGATCACAGGGTAAGCTTGGACTGTTCCTGGAAAAGGCAGAGGAAGGTAACTGGATAAGCCCCAAGAGTCTGAATTCCAGAAAAGAAGCATTCCATGTTGAAACATTTTGGAGCAGCAAGTTTTGTTTATGAGGAAATCCTTTCTAAAAGAGGCATATTCTTCCTCCTTTTTATGTTCCATCCTGAATATGCTTATATGTGCTTCTGCATATTAAACTGTAGCCATTATCAGTTTGATTTGAACTGTCGCTATAACCACTGGTGCTGTAGTACAGTATATTTTAAAGGACAGAATCTCATCAGGACAGCTGTCATATAGCCATGCTAACAAGGAGAGTCCAATAATCTGGGTAGCTGTGCTGATCCAATACTGCAATTATATTATAATACCAGGGCTTACGCCCCTGCTTGCTTCACTCACTAACAGTGGCGGAGTGGGCTTCTTGTTCCAGTCTGTGGCAATGGCAGCATCTCACCCATTCGCAGGAGACTCTGGAAGAGGGGAGGGGGGTAGCCTGAGGCTGAATTGCCTTCCATACCTTGTTGAGGGGTATCGATTAGAAAGGAGACCCGCAATCATCTCCCGAGTCCATTATTGCCTCCATGGAAGCGGGGTGTGTGTGAGGCGCTGGGTGTTAAGCCCTCCATCATCGAAGTAGTCTCTGAGTCCGCCATGTTAAGCAGCCAAGCACCTCTACAATGCGTGTGTGTAGAAACAGAACATACAAGCATGCATTATATTCAGGAAAGGTGCTTGCATAAATGCGAACATTACGAAAATTGCATGCAGCACTGGATTTGCATGAGGACTCCTCTTTAAAAATGGAAAGTACTGCAGAAATGTGGAGGATCAAATCTAAGACTGGGAAAATGAGAAATGGATGGACACTGAAATGGACCAATTTGTCAGTTGCTGCTAGCTGCAGCTAGAATCCCTACGCAGAACTACAATCCACACCTCTGGGTCCCAGTGAAACTTGTAGAAGCACCCCCTTCCCTTGCCCTTTCCCTGAAATAGGTAGCCCTTAGTATTTCACTTCTTCCTTTCATGAAGATGAAGACCTTTAGAGGCCCTAAAGCAGTCAAAATATTAGGTTGCCTCCCCCTAAGCAATTCAAAATAAATAGGGGAAGAACGTGCAGTGGGGTGTAAGGGAGTCTAGTGAAGTTCTGTTTTCCCCCATGTATATGTTCTACTGAGTAATCCAGGGGTGTCTCTGCCTTTTTGCATTGGGAGTAAGGCTCACGGGACTCAGCAAGCAGGCGTAGGATTGTGCTGTGAAGGCCTAGAGACCAGGGGGTGGCAAGTTGAATAAAATATCAGGTGGGGGGACCAGGTAAACCCCGTCCTGTGTAATCGATCACATGACATGGTGCACACATACCATTTGAATGGCAATGCCCATCAACTTTGGGGGAAGGCGGGCCCCCTCAAATATTTTATGGGGGGTGGGCTGAAGGGACCTTGGTCCCTAGGAGTTGGCTCCTATACTAGAGGCAGGGAGAAAGGGCTAGCATCTCTTGTATTTTTTAAAAAAATATTTTTTATTGAGTTTTCCACATATTCACATTTTGTTACATAATTCTATGACTTAATATATTACTCTGTAAGAGCATCGACCTCCTTCCCTCCCTCTTTCTGACTTCCACATAACTTTCCATATTCTTCGCATTTCTATAAGCACTTATTTACCCTTGTCAAATTATAATATTTCACCTTATTATCGGTAAATCAGTTCCTTATATTTACATTACAGAGCCTTTCAATTCAAGCCTACAAACATTTTCAAATGTTTACAATTTTCTTTCATAGAAAATATAAATTTGTTCCAGTCCTTACGAAACAGTTCGTCACGCTGATTCCGGATCTTCCCCGTCAACTTGGCCATCTCTCCGTACTCCATCATCTTGACCTGCCAATCTTCCAGTGTTGGAAGTTCCTGCTGCTTCCATTTCTGACCCAGAAGTGTCCTTGCAGCCGTTGTGGCATACATACACATGTTTACATCACTTTTATGTATTTCCTCACCAATTAAGCCTAATTAAAATGCCTCTGGTTTTTTATTAAAATTATATTTCAAAACCGTTTTTAACTCGTTGTATATTATGTCCCAGAAGGTTTTCACTTTAGAACAAGTGGGTTAGCATCTCTTGTAACTCACATTCACTTTCAAACACACCTTGTGTGCACAGTGAAATCATTGTGGGTTTTTAGTTGTTTTTCTGTTTTACAAAGACATCAGGGCAGTTAATTACCAGGGACAAACACTGGCAAACAGGGTAACAACAAAAAAGAAAAAAGAAAATTCCATTAAAATTCCATTTAAAAAAGAAAATTCCATTAAGACCTTTTCATAGTACATTACACTAAAAAGCAAGAAAAATACTAAGTCCTCTTTCACAGATAAATCTTAAGTTGCCCCACACAATTCCCCAGCATAGGAATAGTGTGAGTGGAGGCTGGGTGCACCACATTGGAGACCCCAGGCGGAGTAGTAGGGGAATCTCATCCTTTACTTCCACACAAGGGTGACAGGCCAAATCATCTGTCAGGATAGATATGGTGGCCACGATTTCGCTGAAAACCCGATGTCTTAGGATTCACAACAAAGCAACAGCAAACACCTGCTAAAGACCCCCTGAAATGTTTGGCAGTGAAAACCCCACATTTCATGGCACCCCCAAAAATGAGCCTTTGGCGCCCTAACTCACGGGATCCCAATTTCTCCAAAAGTCAGACGTTGTCCAATTCACTCCAAAGCGGCGCCAAACACCCAGAGAATGCCCCCTGCAAGGTTTGGGGGGTGAAAACACTACGTTTCACATCGCCCCACAAAATGAGCCCTCGACGCCGTAACCCACATGGTTGTCAGGGGCTGGACTGAGGAGGAATGGTGGGAGCCCCCCCCCTCTCGAGGACCTGCTCCACAACTCCAATTTATAAAGATTATAATCCAAGTTAACGAGATCTTCTTGCAATTAGAGGTCAAGAGATATGTAAAAGTCAGTGCTTTATATGATTCAGCCACATGGTGGAGCAATACACAAAGATTAAAGAAGCCATGATAGCCAGCTCTGAAAAGCTGGGATGGTTTGTGTCTTCAAAGGCATGGCAGTGTGGCTTGAAGTTAATGACTTGTAACACCTCACAGTCATCATCATCATAATATAATAATAATAATAATAATAATTTATTATTTATACCCAGCCACTCTGGGCGGCTTCCAACAAAATATTAAAATAAAAAAGTCTGTCAAACATTCAAAGCTTCCCAGAACAGGGCTGCCTTCAGATGTCTTCTAAATGTCAGGTAGCTGTTTATCTCTTTGACATCTGGTGGGAGGGGGTTCCACAGGGCAGGCACCACTACCCTGTAACTTGGCTTCTCGTAGGGAGGGAACCGCCAAAAGGCCCTCAGCGCTGGACCTCAGTGTCCAGGCAGAACGATGGGGGTGGAGGCGCTCCTTCAGGTATACTGGGCCTTTGAGGCCGTTTAGGGCTTTAAAGGTCAGCACCAACACTTTGAATTGTGCCCGGAAACATACTGAGAGCCAATGTAGGTCTTGGGGGCCACTCCCAGTCACCAGTCTAGCTGCCGCATTCTGGATTAGTTGTAGTTTCCGGGTCACCTTCAAAGGTAGCCCCACGTAGAGCGCATTGCAGTAGTCCAAGCGGGAGATAACCAGAGCATGCACCACTCTGGCGAGGCAATCCGCAGGCAGATAGGGTCTCAGCCTGCGTACTAGATGAAGCTGGTCAACAGCTGCCCTGGACACAGAATTGACCTGCGCCTCCATGGACACCATGAACTGAAAGGTCCCGGGGGCGTTACCCTGAGCCTCAGCCACAAGGAATGTGCAGCAGCAGAAAATGGTAACGCTGTTCTAGATTGCATCTATGGAAGTCCAGGGTCCTGATGAAAGGAAGTCCAAGTCCTACTCTCTCCTACCTTGGTCAGGCCACACCTGGAGTCCTGTGTCCAGTTCTGGGCACCATCATTTAAGAAGGATGTTGACAAGCTGGAATGTGTGCAGAGGAGGGCAACCAAGACAACCAAGGGTCTGGAAACTAAGATTGAAGAGAAACACTGGAAGGAGCTGGGGAGGTTTGGCCTGGAAAAGAGGAAACTGAGAGGAGATCTGACAGCCATCTTCCAATATCTTAAGGGCTGTCACATGGAAGAGGGAACAAGCTTGTTTTCTCCTGCTCTAGATGGTAGGACTCGAACCCATGGATTCAAGTTATAAGAAAGGAGATTCCAACTAAACATTCATAAAAACTTTCTGACAGTAAGGGCTGTTTGGCATTGGAACAGATTCCCATGAGAGGTGGTGGACTCTCCTTCCTTGGAGGTTACTAAGCAGAGGTTGGGTGGCCGTCTGCCATGGATGCTTTTGCTGAGATTGCTGCATCACAGGGGGTTGGACTAGATGACCCTTGGTGTCCCTTCCAGCTATAAGTTTCTATGATTCTATGAAATTGATCTGGATTAATGACAGCCATCCACCAGTTTCATATGCAAAACTGCTTCCCACCCCACCCCCTTACTGATTAATATATATAAAAAATACATTAAAGTAGACAAATAATAACTTACAAAAAGGATCAATAAACGTGTCACCTTTATTATATAAACTGTTATCATAATCACATGTCAAAATTTCTTTTGTGAATGAAATAAAATGGTTTCAATCAGTTTTTAATAACCAACAATCAAATGTAGTGCTTGGGGTACAGCTTAGATCAATTCCCCAGATGTTCAGTGTCCAGGGGTTCAGTGCCTGGCACCCAGAAACTCATGGCAAAGGGGAGTCTGGCACCAAGTAACTCATAACATTTCACTTCCTTGCAAGCTAAGGAAAGCTGTTGATTGGCAGAAGACACTGGGCAGAAACAGAAAGAAACAGGGGGATGAGGGGGTCTAAGGGTGAAGTCCTGCTCCTGTCCATCCTAATACTGGACAGTTTATTACAGGATGTTGAGAAGGGTCATTTTTTAGTATTAATTGAGAAACAGCAGCCATAGTCTAGGCCAGGAGTGTTTTTCCTTGGTGACACCGCCATGTTGAAAAGTGTGTGTTTGCAAGGTGTTTCCTGTCCTGTCCAGAAATGCACTGTGCTGGATGAAGCCAGCTCTAGATCCTTCCTAAATAAAAAAAATAAAAACCCACTGGAAGATATATTTGAAAAATTAATGTTAAGGGGAACAATTCACATTGTTAAGCAAGGTAGCTAAAGCAACAGGGTCAGGGCCTCCATTGTGACACGTCCCCCTGCTGAGTGACTTGGCTGAGGACTTTGGGAAGAGCAACTATCTGAGGATAGTTCAGGAGAAAGGAGGTGGTTTGTGAGAAGTAATGATGTTTTCCGGCAAAATAAAGATTTCTTCTTCTTGAGTGTAAGTAGGATGTCTAATTCTTTCTGCATTCTGCTTCTTTTGCTCTCCCTCAAGATTTAGAAACATAGGGCAGTAAGGCAGATCTGGAAAAAGCCTAGGTAAAGGTACAGGGACCCCTGACCGTTAGGTCCAGTCGCGGACGACTCTAGGGTTGCGCGCTCATCTCGCCCTATAGGCTGAGGGAGCCGGCGTACAGCTTCCGGGTCATGTGGCCAGGATGACGAAGCCGCTTCTGGCAAAAGCAGAGCAGTGCACGGAAAGGCTGTTTACCTTCCCGACAGAACGGCACCTACCGTATTTTTGGCTCTATAGGACGCACCGGACCATAAGACGCACCGGATTATAGGAGGGGGAGAACAGGGGGGGGGGATTCTCTCCCTCTCTGCTCAGTGTCCCTTCAGCGAAGCGGCAGGAGAAATGGAGCCCCTTCCATTTCTCCTCCCGCTTCGCTGAAGGGGCGCTGCGCAGAGAGGGAAAACTGTGCACCGACCCCTCTCGCTCTCCAGGCTTCAGACGGCTATCCGCAAGCCTTCTGAGTGCAGCGGGAACTCCTGCTGCGCTTGGAAGGCTTGCGGATAGCTGCCTGAAGCCCCCAGAGTGCAGCCTTTGAAGCCTCCACAGAGCAGCGGGGTGAAGGCACCCCGCTGCCCTGCGGAGGCTTTGTGCAGCCATCCCCAAGCTAGAACAGTGAGCCGGAGCACCGCGCAGCGCTCCTTCTGCCTGCTCTGGCTTTGGGCTTAGCTGCGCAGCCTGCATTCACTCCATAGGGCGCACACAAATTTTCCCTTAATTTTTGTTTTTTTTATAATATATTTTTTATTAGCAAACCAATCAAATCACAATAGTTCCAAATTACAAAACCGAATTTTAAATTTTGGTTGGGGGTACCCATGCTTCGAGCTCAGAAAGGGATCCAATCATCTCTTATTTCTGCTGCTTTGATCATTTCCCCTTAATTTTTGGAGGGGGAAAAGTGCGTCCTATAGAGTGAAAAATACGGTATTTATCTACTTCCACTTTCGAACTGCTAGGTGACTTCAGGTGGCTATCCGCAAGCCTTCGAAGTACAGCGGGAACTCCTGCTGCGCTCCGAAAGCTTGCGGATAGCTGCCTGAAGCCAACGGGTGCAGCCTTTGAAGCCTCTGCAGAGCAGCGGGGTGAAGGCACCCCGCTGTCCTGCGGAGGCTTTGCGCAGCCATCCCCAAGCTAGAACAGTGAGACGGAGCGCTGCGCAGCGCTCCGCCTCACTGTTCTGGCTTCGGGGACGGCCTTTGAAGCCTTCGCAGGGCAGCAGGGGGCCTTCACCCTGCTGCCCTGCGGAGGCTTTGCGCAGCTAACCCCAAGCTAGAACAGCGAGACGGAGCGCTGTGCAGCGCTCCTTCTGCCTGCTCTGGCTTTGGGCTTAGCTGCGCAGCCTGCATTCACTCCATAGGGTGCACACAAATTTTCCCTTAATTTTTGTTTTTTTTATAATATATTTTTTATTAGCAAACCAATCAAATCACATTAGTTCCAAATTACAAAACCGAATTTTAAATTTTTGTTGGGGGTACCCATGCTTTGAGCTCTTAAAGGGATCCAATCATCTCTTATTTCTGCTGCTTTGATCATTTCCCCTTAATTTTTGGAGGGGGGAAATTGCGTCCTATAGAGCGAAAAATACGGTATTTATCTACTTCGACTTTGTGCTT